GCCACTGAGCAGGCAGCTCAGCAGCCGGACAACACTGTGACAACTCTGGATTGCAGAGTGTAGAGTGTGGACTGTGGAGTGTGGAGTGGAGTGAGTGAGAGCAAGCCAAAGATTAGCGACGTACAGCGGCGCCTTAGAACTTGGCTAAAGCGAGTGCTGACAGTTCAATTGCCAAATTTATTGCGCGCTTGCTAATCGACAACAATCGATATGTCTATGAATCGATTGAGTGGCACTGGCTTATCGATAAGCAAGTATATCGATACCTATTTTACTTTTCTGATTTTTACTATCAAGAGCAAGTCGATACATGAGCCAACTTGTTTAGTATTTACTAATCGATAAGCACATGAATTTACTATCGATAGTTATCGATAATGCCCTAGGGCTATGCAGTGAGTGCATCTTTGAAGTTTCTTCAGCGTAAATCAATTATCCAGCTCAGTAAATTAGTAGTTATCGATAAATCGTTATCGGCATTTCTTGCTTCTTCATAATGTCGAAGCCCCATTACAGGCCAAAACAAGTGTAAATGTGAATTCGAGCCATAATCAGAAATCTGGTTTGCAGCAACAATGTCCCGGCGAGCAATTAGCACAGAGCTCGAACACGCTCGCCAGTTAATCGATATATCGATAAACAGACTATATTAGTGCCCAGAGCGATTTACATGCCTGCACGACATTTTAGATTTTCGCAGCTACTCAAATAGCAGAACATTGCAACTAGTTGCTATATTTTGAGGCAGTTGTTGTTGTTGCTATAGCTGTAGCTGTAGCTGTTGCTGTTGCTGTGGCTGGCATTCAGTCACGATCAAGTGGAGATATCGCTGTGGTAGTTGATGCAACTGTCGATAACCGTTAGCGATCGTCCGTTTTATTGCTGCTGTCGCTGCTGGTTGCATGTGAACAAAACATGCCAAATCAAAGTGTGAGTGATCATTCAATTAAGCAGCACGCCAACCGACAACAACAACACTAGCCGACGTACGACAGCAGCAACATGAGCAGCAACAGCCACAACAACAGCAACAGCAACAACAATGCCAACGACAGCAATCACACAGCAACAGCAACTGCGGTGCCATCATCAGTTAAATTATGTGATAATATGCCAACAATGAGTGTGCAACAGCAACAGCGACAGCAATCGCAACAACAGCAACTACAACAGCAGCAGCAGCAGCAGCAGCAATCAACACGCAAAAGCCCAAAACAAACGTGTCACAAGCAGCACAGGGCAGGCTGGCAGGCAGGCAGGCAGGAGGTGGGCAATTGAGCAGCGTGAAAGATGCGGCCCCAACGGCAACAGCACGTACATGCCCCGCAGCAGCATCACCAGCACCAGCAGCAACAGCTACAGCTACAGCAACAGCAACAACGCCAAAATTGCTGCTGCCTTTTTTGGTTGTTGCTGCCGGCGCGGCTCAATCAGTTTGTCACCCGGGCGATATATAGAGTGATTAAGTGGCCCACGGATTGGATTGGATTGGTATTGACCAACTGGTGCAGCAGCAGCAGCAGCAGGGGCCGCGACATAGAGACGTGCCGCAATGCAACAGCAACAGTTGCTGAATTTTGCATTAGTCGCTGGCTCGCAATGCAATATGAACAAACAAGAAAAAAAGTAGACAATATTTGACGCATAATTGCATTAGAGCTGCTTGCCAATCAATTCAATCAGCGAATGAAATCAGAAGCAGCAACAGCAGCAGCAACAACAGCAGCAGCAGCAGCAGCAGCAGCAACAGCAGCAGCAGCAACTAGAGCTGTCTGTCTTTTGTCTGGCTTGGCAAAGCAACAACAGCAACTGTTGCTGACTTGTAGCTTGTTGTGTGACGACGACGACGACGACGACGACTGCGTGGCGTCCGTGTAATCGCACTTCATGTCTAATTAGACTTGTTTATGCCCATTTGAAAAAAACTGAAATGCAGCAGCAACAACAACAGCAGCAACAGCAGCAACAGCAGCAGCAGCAACAGCAACAACCACATTGCTGCAGTGCATGCACATATTATATTATTTTTTATGGCTATCTTCACGGTTATTTTCATTTAAATCGCAATTCAAACTCGACATTGTCGTCGAATGACATTTTAAATGACAATTTTGCGCCTTTTGCAACTGTTGTCAACAGTGCGTGAGAGAGAGAGAGAGAGAGAGAGAGAGACTGCGAGCAGTAGAGGCTGAGAGTGAGTGAGTGAGCGAGAGAAGCAAATTGTATGTAATAATGCAAATTGTTTTTATCAATAAATTCTAGACGCGCCACGAGTAATTCAGTTAATGTTGCCACTGAATGAATTTATGCGTTAATAAATTTAAAGCAAATTAGCTAAACGACATCGACGACGATTTATGGACTAAGCAACGATTGCGACTCATTCAGCAGAGCCTCAGCTCAGCTCAGCTCAGCTCAGCTCCGACTCGACTCAGCTTCGACTCAGCTCAACGACTTGGCAATTTGATTGATGAGGCTTGCCAATAAACGGTGTTTGCCTTTTAAAGTCTGCCCAAATCGGTGCGAGTCGGCGGCAATTGCGTTTCCAATTGCCGTGTGCAGTTCCCCTAGCCAGCGCCAGCTGCAGCGAGTGTGGCGGGCTCCAAAATGGCGACGCCGGCAATTAATCAGTTTTTCAGCCTTCGGCCTTTTTGGCCAGGCAATAAAACCCACACAGAGAGAGAGAAAGAGAGAGAAGGAGAGAGATAGAGACAGGCACTTGCTTAGTGCATGAATTAATGGCAGCGCATTTAGCGCTTAGTCGTTATACTATTCACATTAATTAACGTGACACGTCAACGAGTAGACCACTCAAATTGACGAGTCGTGCGAAAATATTTTAATTTACGATTTTACGTACTTCATCGTAATGAGATTTTTATCTTTGCTTGCTTTACGCCTTGCCACATAAAGCCTGCATATGTTGGTCCACTCGATGTGGCTCTACTCGTTGCAGTTTCATTAGTCACTTAGTTAAGCATATTTGTTTGTCAGCTCATTGTCTCTTTAGTAGTTTCGTATGATTTCTCGCTCTAGCTGTACTATGTGTTTAGTCGTTGATGGTCTATTATATCCTAGTTCTACTCGTTATGGTTCTACTCATTATATCTCCACTTGTTACGATTCTGCTCATCATATCTCTACTTATTAAGGATCTACTCGTTATAGCTCTGGTCACTATATTTTTAGTCATTATACCTCTGCTCCTTATATCTCCACTCGTTATATCTCTACACATTACATGCTTATTCTATACGTCTCTACTCGATATATTTCTACTCATCATATCTCTACTCGTTATATTTCTACTCGTTATATTTCTACTCATCATATCTCTACTCGTTATATCTCTACTTGTTATAGCTCTACTAGTTATATCTCTACTCATTAAAGCTCTACTCGTCGTCTCTCTACTCGTTAGATTTCTACTCATCATATTTCTACTCGTTATATATCTACCCATCTTATCTCTACTCTTTATACCTCTACGCGTAGCCTCTCTGCCCATTATGGTTCACTGCTTATCTATCCGTTATTTCTCCACTCGTTGTAGCCACACTCGCATTATGCATTGTATCCACATGTATAGTCATTGCTGCTCTACCTCTTCTCGCTTCAGTTGAACTTTTCACTCTCTGCTGTCTTACGCCCTGTAATTAACTTGTAGCCGCATTTATTGCGAGTCTCGCCGCGCTTTGCTTATGGCTGCCTGACGGCACGTACTTGTCTAGCTTCACTCGCAGCGCACCGTCTGCATCAGCTACCAGCAACTATTGCTGCTTATGCCATTCTCCTGCTTTGTTCTGCTGTGCGCTGCGATCTGTTTCGTTTAGTCTGGCCTGCGCTTTGTCGCATTATTTAGTTGTATTCAGCACTTCTGAAGCGTTAACACGGCCAGCACCAGCTTTCAGCTCTATACATACAATTATAATGCTGACAACATGAGCAACAACCACAAGCATCTTATTAGTCACACCTTTGTGTGCATGACACCGCAATCGCCATTGGTGGTCTTGCCCAGTGGGAGAGGGACAGCGGCAGAGACAGAGGCAGAGAGAGAGAGATACACACAATGTATATAGCCAACCAGTTGTTGTTGCTGCTGTCGCCATCAGCAACAGCAGCAGCACCAGCAGCAACAGTGTAAGCAGCTAGAGCTATAGCCTAAAGTCTAAGTCTGAGTCAAAGTCGCAGCTTGTTTTCTTTTTAAATTACATGAACAAAATGGCGTTGCCAGACTCAGCAGCAGCAACAGCAACGGCAGCAACAGCAAAGACAGCAACAGCAACGACAGCAACAGCAACGACAGCAGCAGCTTGTGAGGTCCACACGCAGCAGCAGGAACCGAAAACAAGCCAACAGAGCACAGAGACTTTGGCTGGCCGCATCGGACCCGGTCTATAGAGCCTGGCTGCCTAGACTAGACCTGGGACTATGCTTACAGTTGGTCCGTCGGTCCGTTGGTCGGTCTGTCGTTCGCTCCTTCGTTTTAATCGAAGTCGATTCGACGAGTTATGGTAATTAAAAAGGTGTTCCTTTTGCAACAGTCGCGCATGTCGTTGCTTGGGGGGTCTCGCGGCTTCGTCTCTGCTTGCTGCAGACAAATTCATATTTTATGACAAAACTTCTGGCCACTCCCCGCACCCCACTCTCTCTATCTCTCTCTCTCTCTCTCTCGCTCACTCTGTGTGTGTCTCTGTGGCGGCACTCGTGCACTTTGGTGGGTGGTCGCCTACAGGAATGTCGCCGACGTGCCACAGTCCACAGCCATTTGCAATATCTTTTCTACAGCTCAACTCCAAGCCATGTGTGTGTGTGTGTATGCCTCTGTTTGAGCCTGTCAAGTTTTGTCAAGTTACTGCCGCCAAAACGGAATACCTTGTGCCGTGCTTTTTTTTTTTTTTTTTTTTTTTTTTTTTTTTGTCCCATTGCATTTTGCATGCTAAGCTAACTAATCTTATGCTCTCTTTCTCTGGCCATCTCTTTCGTTCGCCTTATAGACAATACTGAACTCAATGCATAAATATCAGCCGCGCTTTCATTTGGTGCGAGCCAACGATATCTTGAAGCTACCATATTCCACGTTTCGCACGTACGTGTTCAAGGAGACGGAGTTCATAGCCGTGACTGCATATCAAAATGAGAAGGTAAACCATATCCCCATATAAATAGAATTGTGATAATCCAGCCATATGGCATATAACTAAACACACATTAACATTTCCAGATAACTCAGCTGAAAATCGACAACAATCCCTTTGCGAAGGGCTTTCGTGATACTGGTGCTGGCAAACGGGAAAAGAAGTGAGTATCACTAGTGTTAAGCAACGACTCGAGTTAACGGAATATGGGCGCTTAGAGAGAGGTCAATAATAGGAAGAAGTCGATTTGATTTGGGAGTAATTGAAGTTAGTTAAAGCAGGTTTTTTAGGGTTTTTTTAGTGCTGGGTTCTTAAGATGATTTGATTCCGTATAGGAAAAAGGTTTTCCTAGACCAAACTATTATAATTGTTCAATCATTAAAGTTTGTTTAAAGCAAGACTTTTGAGTTTTTAGTGCTGGGTTCTTGAGATGATTTGATGATTCCATTCGGGAAAAGGTTTTTCCTAGTTCAAACTATTAAAATTGTTCAATCATTAAAGTTTGTTTAAAGCAAGGGTTTTGGGATTTTTTGTTTTGGGCTATGTTAGGCTAGAGGTGATTTAATATGTACCATATAGGAAAAGGGGTTTCCTAGTTCTGTTCATAGAGCCCCTCATGCCCAGATAACTGAGTTTTTCTTGTGAGCAGCCTAGCTAGGCTCTAGTTCTACCCGTCCAAGGAACCTCCTTAGATAGGCTCATATAGGAAAAGGTTTTTCCTAGTTCATAGAGCCCCTCATGCCCAGATAACTGAGTTTATCCGGTGAGCAGCCTAGCTAGGCTCTATTTCTACCCGTCCAAGGAACTTCCTTAGTTAAGCCGGAGATCCTAGTCAAGTCTAGGTAAAATCTATGGATATATTGCTCAGATACACACAACACTCAAGCAATAGGGTTATCCATTACTAATTCCTTGAGCAAATACCAAGTTGCTGCGCTCTAGCTCAGCCTAACTTGGAGTGGGGAAAAATCTTGCCGAAATGCAAATTCTCTGCTCGCTCGAAAATTGCATTAGGTAGATTTTGCTTAAAGTATATGCGAATGGCAGCTGACTGGCTTATTAGCAGCTGCCCTCGGCCAGTTGGTGCTGCAATTATGTGTTGTAGATCCGTGCAAAGGACCTCATTGATTCAATTAGTTCATAAGTTAACTCCGGCTACCGAGTGCAGTCCCTGGCAAATCGAATTCAACACAATCGAGCGAAGCCCTTTCAGCTAGCTGCCCGTTCGCCTCAAAAAGCAAACTAATCAGCACTTTGAGCTGCACTTCACATCACAGCAATCGTCGTGTTTGGGGTCAGCAATTCGGTTTGTTTTCCTATTTGTTAGCAGCGGGCTCGTTGGCTCGTTTGTCTAACTGTCTATCCATTTGTATCTCTATCTCTATCTCTATCTCTATCTCTATCTCTATCTCCATCTGTATCTGTATCTGTATCTGTATCTGTTTCTGTATCTCTGCTGTAGCTTGATTAGCAGACATTAATTTTTGTCAAATCTGTGCGGAACTAATTAGCCTGCTGCTTGTCAAATTGCAACTCATACAAAGCGCCAATGTGGACGAGGGGGCGTATTGCGGCTGCTGGCTAACATCGACGCTCAGCTGGAGGCCAAGTGGCCACAAAGTCAACACAATGATGAGGCCGATGATAATCATGCTGAGGATGATGACTGGCACCTTGGTCTGGCCATGGTCCACCCCAACTCCCACTCCCACTCCCACTGCCGATATGTGTGTGTAGAGAAATAGAGAGAGACAGGGGGAGACATCCTCTCGACAGCAGCCCAGCTGCTGGGCCAGCTCTCCAGCTGAGCGCCTGTAATCCATATTGATGGATTGATTTCAATTTCCTGTTGGTCGATTTGGTCGGCCGTCAGCGTGGGCGCTGATCAAAATGCTTTTGACTTTTTTCCACAATTGTTTTTGCGCAGGATAACCAAAAAGTCAACATCGGCGTGGGGGAGTGGAACTTGGACTGGTTCCGGTTTCCGGCCACCGTCGGGCTGCCGGGCTGCCGAGCTGCACTCGCTTCGCTTTCAATCTGCCCTGACTTAGCATAATGATGAATGACATTTAATAGCTGGCTCAACGTTTTCCTAAACGTTACAAATCAATTTTCACTCTCCCCGCTACCATCTCTCTCTCTCACTCCCTCTCTCTATCCCTCTCTCTCTCTCTGTGTGTGTGACTGACAATGACAAGACGATGATGAGCTGTGGCGTATTTGGACAGGCCAAGGAACGACTTCATCAGTCTTCTGTTTGCTGCATTGACACAAACAATTTACTTGCGGCCCTTCCTGTTGAGTTGTTGTAAAACTGATTACAGCGCCTTGATTGGCATTAGCTGCCAAGCCGCAAGCCCCAACGCCCCACCGAGTGTACCCCAGCCTAGCCTAGCCCAGCCCAGCCTAGCTGTCTATTCAGTCCTCCAGTCCCGCAATCCTAGCTGTCTTTTATACCCAGCAAACATTTAAATTGCCAACAGGGAAATGCGCGCTGAGTTGCTTTTAGCTGCCTGTCTTAAATAAGTTATTTGATGCCCGCTTGGCATATGCAAAAATCGATAACTATCGATTGTGCTGTTGTCTATATTCTTGGCTGATGCATTGAGTGCATATAGTAAAATCCCAAGACTTTCAGCTAACTGAGTACTTTCTACAAGGTTATTTCATTTCTCGCCTAAAATCGATAATTATCGATATGCAAGCTAGCTGCTTCTGTATTAAATATGTATATAGGCGGATTGCTATGGATTGACGTTTATATACATATATTCAATTGACTTTGATTTAAGGCAGCTTTTTTCACTTTAATAATTCAAAATCGATTGTTATCGAACTTGAAGAGCAACATACTATCAACTTTCAAAGCAAGCAGCAAATATTCTTCTATGCTTCATATGTCGTTCTTGTAAATGATTATAACTATAGCTATATCCCTTCGATAACATATGCCGATAGCACCAAAGCGATAAATATCGATTCATAGGTAGCTGTAAAAGCAATTGTGCAATTCATTTGTCTTTCCCGGCTTTTTTGTTTCATTTGTTGGATTTCCTTAATAGAGTTCAACTCATTTGTGGCTGTTATCGATAACAGCCAGCAATTGCTTTTATACTTTAGCTTCCGTCTTAGCTCTCGCTAGCCTCTTGCAGGGTATCTGCGTGTGTGGCTCTGCTAGCTGCGCCTATTTGCCTATGCCGCCTGTCTGGCTGTCAGCAAAAATCATGCACTGCCTGTTTTTTATCTGCATGTCAGCCGCAGTCCCGCCTGCCACGCCCACTGGCAAAAAATCTGACTGGTCATTGCTGGGACAGTCATGTGTCAGTTGTTTGGCCTGGGCGACGGATTTGGTTTCGGTTTTTTGGTCTCGGGCTTCTCTGTTCAACTGGACGTCGATTATTAATAAAACGCCAGCACTCAAAAGTATACTACACTCTGTGTGTGTGAGAGTGTGTGTGTAGGTGTGGGTGTGGGCGATTTACAGCCGCTAAAGCGCTTAGCTAACTTTTTGCATAGACTTTTAATTAGTCTGAAATGCCTGGGCAATTAGTGCGACTTAGTCAAAACTCCAGTCTTGCCTTTTTTGTTTGTCAAATTGCCAGCAACAACAACAACAGCAACAACAACAATAACAAGCAGCAGCAGCACTTTTTAAGTAGCTCAATGCGGCGGCAACTTTTTGTGGTTAACTCTTTTAGCAGCCAGCCGCTGGGCTGCGCTTCATTAGTAACAACAACAACAACAACAACGATAGCAACAACAATAGCAACAACAACAGCCACATAAACAATGCCATGACGACATTTTCGTCCTGCGACTTGGGTGTCACAGCTCACAGCAAGCGGCGCTAATTGGTGGCAACTATGTCGCAGCCGAGGCGCAACCCTCTCGCAGCTTAACTGCGCAACTTCCGCCGGAATGATATTCATCTCTGGCAAAGACCAGTCGAGCCCGGCCCGGCCCCTGCTGCATGCTGCCTGCCTCCTGGCAAACTCTTTGCAATTGCTTTTGCATTGCCCGCGGCCGCAGCGGAAATCTAAAGTGAAAACCGTTTTAACAGCAGCAGCAGCAGCAGCGGCAGCAGCGGTTGAGAAGCTGGCAGCAATTGAAATTCCTTTTCATATTTATTTGCCACACTCTCTCACACCGCTCGCCCCGACCTGCCACGCCCCGCCTCCTGCTGTTGCAGACAAATAGCTGCAGGCGTTAGTTGACAATTGGCGCACTTTTTTCTTTTTCCTTTCTTTCGACTGCTGTCCGCGCTCTTCTTCTACCTCCCTCCCTCTCTCTATCTGCTTCTCTGTTAATTTGCCAATGTTGTGGTGGGCGGGGCTGGGCGTGGGCGTGTGTGGAACTGGAACTGGAACTGGTTTTAGCCGCACATTTAGATATAATTCAAAAATTACAGAGCACCGCCATTTGCCACGCCCCTGCCCCCGTCACCGCCCCGCACCCGTTGCCGGGCCGTGCATAAAAACCAAGATAAACGTCTTAGTTGCCCTTTGTGCGAGTGTTGCAAATTTATGGTTGAGTTACATGTGAGACACAGGAGCGGTTCAGCCCCCAGGCGCGCTGGCCCCAAATGCAGCATTTACTGGCACTTGCTGCCTCTGAGGCCTAGAGACTTGATCTTTACTTTGAAGTGTGTGAGAAGGTTTTCACAACTTACAAAAATTCTATACATATATATCTTAAAAGCATTGAATATATGAAAGATAGTATTTCTTTAGTATTTGTCTCAATTTCTGATTATATCTCAAGCTGAAGAGTTCTATTTGAATATTCATTCAGTTGCAAAATAGTTCTTGAGGGCCATTAGCATATATCCTATGGTATACATCAGTATATACTATAATAGCATGTATATATACTGAAATACTGCTATATATACTGATAACATATGGTATATATCAGTATATACTAGAATAGTATCTGCCAGTATTTACCATAAAGCATATATCATTATATAATATTTTCCAGTATATACCATATAGTATATATTATTATATACTACAATAGCATATGTTATATCTCAGTATATGCTAGAATGGTATATAGCAGTATATACCATATATTAATGCACTGTGTACTATTTATGTCTATTCATAAAGTATACCATACACAAATATACTAGAATACTATGTACCATATACCATATAGTGTATATACTATTATATACTATTATAATATATGGCAGTATATATATTATATGTCATACTAGTATGGTATCTAGCAGTATATACCATATATTAAAGCACTACACCCCATATGTCTATTCATAAATCGCTATCAGAAAACCTCTTGAGTGCTATTAGCATATACCAAATAGTAGCAGTATATACTAGAAAAGTATATGGCAGTATATATCATATAGTACATATCAGTATATACCATATATATGATCTATAGCTGTATATACCATATATACCAAAAGCCACTGAAAGCAAATGTTGCTTTCCGTTGCTGAAAAGCTAATAGATTTCTAGTTAAACAATTTTCGCTTCTGGTTAATTAGAGTTTTGGAGCCCAAACTTTTTTTAGAGCGCCCCATTTTGGGCGTTCGCTTGGGCTGTGCGGCGTCGCTAGTTGCTGTTGGGTGGGTGAGCTCGTAGCGCTGCCTAGATTAACACAAATTGATTTGCTATTAAATTAGGTATATACACAACACACACACGCACATGCACACACACACACACACACACACACACGCAGACACAGGTGATGCGAAATACGTGGAAAAACAGTTAAGTGTAAAAGAAGACGCCTGTGGCGAAATTGCTAACTCCTGTCTATGGGTGGTTCCGGGCTCAGTGGTTGCTGTGATAATGATACACACATGCCGCTCGCCCGCTCCCCCTCTGTGTGTGTGTGTGTGTGTGCTAGTAAATTGCCCAATTTGCGAACACGGGGCCTGGCGCTGGCATCGTTGCTTTGATGTGTGAACAACAAAAAAATAAACGCAGAAAATGCACGGACGTAGTTTTTCGGCTAAAGGGCGGCGCAGTAACGGAGATGCGGTGTATTTGTTGGCGCTTGCGGGGCAGTGCGAGTCGAGGCCAGTGTAGACACTAAATTACACTAACGTGTTTTGAATTATTTTTCAATTTCATTGTCGGCCCAGACACAAACTGCCGGCTGTTTCCGCCTGCCATTGTTACATTTCAATTAAGGTTCCGGCTATACGGCGATCCCCAACCAGACCGCCCAACAGCCAAACCGAGCGACCGCCCGCCCGCCCGCCTGCCTGCCTGTCCCACCGCTTATTCATATGCCGGCAGCGTCGTTTTATCATTTAACAGATATTCCTGCTAGCGAAAATATTATGCCAGTGCCTCGTCTATCCAAAAAGCCTAATGCAACATGGACTGTAGAGAGGGAGAGAGAAAGAAAGAGAGAGAGAGAGAGAGAAAAAAAACAATGTCTAAAACGCTTGCGGCCTATGCGTGCTCCAAAATTTCCGATTACAATTCGCTTTTTCAATTTGCAATTTACATTATTCAGGTTTTTTTTTTTGTAGTCTCGGGATCCAATATTATCGAGAGCCTTAAGTCTTATGCGGGGAGTATCTGAGCAGAAGAGCTGGGCATGATCCCAAATGGAACCCTTTAGCTCTTTAGCCTTTCAGTTGTGGCGGATGAATGAGCTGCATTAGTAACTCCCATCTTGACAACCCTAGCTTTCATCGACGATCCCTCTTGTCATTGTCCTGAATAGACAGCTAGGTATGATCCCATGCGTAAATCTAGATACCACTTGAGTCAGCTTTCTAGATTTTCAGTTACAAATGTAGATTATGTATATAATTAGCTCCCCGAGTAGGAAATGCCATTTCCCACATCATTAGCCTTTACTCCTGATCCATATCGATGCGCCTAGCTCCCTTGACGATGGAACCCGCTTCGCCTTAGACAATTGGATGTTCTAATTTGTTTCGTTTTCTCGTACTACTGTTGTTACAGGCAGGCGCTGATGTCCAACCGAGGGTCCGACTCGGACAAATTGAATCCCACGCACGTGAGCAGCTCCCGGGCGCCGCTCCATCTGGGCCATGCTGGACGGCCGCCACATCTGCATCCGGCGCATGCGGCCGCGCTGCTGGACAATCAGCAGGACGACGACGACAAGCTGCTCGATGTGGTGGGCCCGCCCCAGAGTCCGCTGCTCCCGCTCAGCCACTCGCTGCAGCAGATGCACGCGCACCAGCATTCGGGTAAGCAGTCAAGCAGCATTAGCATCAGCATCAGTTGATCAGCTGATCATCTCTCGAGATTCGCGCATGCCCGGAGTCTGTCTAACTGAGCCAATCTCTGGCTTCTCTTTCTTCTCGTTTCATTCCAACTCAGCAGCTTTGGCCGCCTGGTTCAATCACTTGGCTGGCGCTGGCGCCGGCGAGCATGCGGCCGCGGCGAATGCGGAGGATGCACTGCGCCGCCGCCTGCAGGCGGACGATGTGGAGCGCGATGGCAGCGATTCGAGCTGCTCGGAGAGCGTCGGCGGCAGCACCGGCGGTGCCTTTCGCCCCACCTCGACGGGCAGTCCCAAGGAGGGCGTGGGCGGCGGCGGTGCGGCTGCTGCGGCCGCAGCGGCAGCGGCCGGACTCAATGCGGCCGGCAGCTATCCGTCGCCGAATATCTCAGTGGGCCCGCCCATACACCCGTCGCCGCATCTGTTGCCTTACCTCTATCCGCACGGCCTCTATCCGCCGCCGCACCTGGGACTGCTGCACAATCCGGCGGCGGCCGCTGCCATGAATCCGGCCGGACTCAATCCGGGCCTGCTGTTCAACGCGCAGCTCGCGCTGGCCGCCCAGCATCCGGCGCTGTTCGGCCACGCCTACGCGGCGGCTGGCCACACGCCCGTCTCGCCGCTGCAGGGCCTGAAGAGTCATCGCTTCTCGCCGTACAGCCTGCCGGGCAGCTTGGGCTCTGCCTTCGATGCGGTCACGCCCGGCTCGAATGCGAATCGCAGCGGTGGCAATGGCAGCGCCGACGCAGCTGCGCCGCCCAATCTTCTACCCTCCGCAGGAGGCGGGGGCGGCGCTGGCGCTGGCGGTGGCGCCGGTGGCGGCCTGGGCCTGGACAATGGACCACGCAGCTTGAGCTCCAGCCCGAGACCGCGCGCCTCTTCGCACTCGCCGCCCACGCGGCCCATATCAATGTCGCCGACGACGCCGCCGTCGCTGCTGAAGCGACAGTCGCAGCACTCGCCGTCGGAGCTGAAGAGCATGGAGAAGATGGTCAACGGGCTGGAGGTGCAGCACAATGGCAGCGCAGCAGCAGCGGCGGCGGCAGCGGCAGCGGCGGCAGCAGCAGCAGCGGCCGCCTCGCTGCTGTCGGAGGAGTCGTCGCAGCTGCAGCATCACACGCAGGCGCATCACACACATCCGCACACACATCCGCACGGACATCCGCACGGGCTGACGCACGCGACGCACCATGCGTCGGCTGGGACGGATCAGTGACAATTACAGGACGGCCGCTCCGACTGCGAGGAGGGCGGCCCCCACGAGCTGGACGACGACGAGGACGACGACCACGATCGCAGCTCGGTGATCGATCTGGATGTCGATGTCTGACCGCATCCGGTGCAGCTGCAGCAGCTTTAGCGTGCAATGCCGTTGACCAGCTGCTGTCGGGCAGTCGAAGCGGTTCCAGTTCCGGTCCCAGTTCCGGTTCCGGTTCCGGTTCAGGCTAGCATCGGAAGCAGCTCCGGCGGCAGTTAACCAACACTGCTAAACAGTGTAAATAGCGCCAGCGTTCTATATAGGCATTGTAGCATATAGCATAGAGTCCACACACACACACACACACACACACACACTCACACTCACAGCCACACACACTAACACACACACGCACGTAATACCCTAATAGAGCCTAGAGACGTTGCGGGTCGCTTTGCGCATAGTTATAGTGCACCGATATATATCGGCTATACATATATATATATATACATCTTTTTTTTTTTTATATTATTGATTATTGTAAGCAACGCCTGTTTGTGATGCGCAGGACCCGCCAGCTTTTAAAACCTAGTTTAAAGAGGGACACAAACAGTGAGAGAGAGCGAGAGAGAGAGAGAGAGAGAGAGAGAGGCGTGACAGACAGCGACAGATATATTAGATTTCTTTACTAATTACTATTTTTTTTTTTTTTTTTTTTTGCTCGTTTCCTTAAACGTGGCCCAGTGCTCTTGCAATTAGTTGCAGCTAAAAATATATATATAAATAAAAATAAAAAAATTAAAAAAAAAAATTAAAAAATATAACCCTTTCAAATGCCCGCAAAACACTTTTTAGCACTTAGGCATAATATATATAAATATATATGTGTATGTATATATATTTATGTATATATGTAACACTCACACACACACAACACTTATATATATAAACATATATATTTACTATATAGCAAAGATAAAGAAAGAGATACACAGAGAGCGAAATAGAGTTGAAAAGCGCAGACAAATTTATATATACATATATATGTATATATATAAAGCATATACAGATATATATATATATCTATACATATATTGATATATTGATATTCATTGAAGCAACATCAAAGATGGCGCCCATATATATATATATATATATATATATATATATATATATATATACACACACACACTCACATACAAATCTAAATACAATGTAACCTTTAACAACAACAAAAAAAAGCAGAAAAAGCAAAAAAAAAAAAAAAAAAAAAAAAAAACAAAAAAAAAACCAAGCGAAATGCGTAAATTTTTTTTCTTAGTCTTAGGATGAACAATTTTTTTTTTAGTATTCGTAAATTGATGGAAATAAGCTAAAAGAAAATATATATAAAAAAAAAAAAAAAAAAAAAAATACAAATAAAAATAAAAAACAAATCTAATGCAAAAAACAACAACAACAATTGCGTAAAATGCGAATAAAAAACTATAATTAAATTAATTTATGTAGCTCTTAAGTACCGTGTACCGTAACATCCACGAAAGCAAAATGCATAATTTATATTCATTTGGAACAAGTCCTCGAGAGGTAACGCCCCACGCACCGCGCACCGCGCACCACGCCCCCTAGCCCGCCCCTCGCCCAGCCCCAGCGGGCTTCAGGCTTTGGCAGACCTGCCTCGACCAAAATGAAATGTTTCCGCCGCTTCTTCAACCACTTCTCTTCTTCTTCTCATAGACACTCAGTAGCAGCGACTCACACGCACACACACATACAAACACACAGCCAGTTATAATGCAGCACTTTCAACCTGTAATACAAGTTCTCATATAGATTTTTTTTACAACTATTTTTTTTTTTTTTTTTTTTTTTTGCTAATTTTTAAGTTCTAAAACCAAAGAACAAGACACTTTTTTTTTTTGTATAATTATAATTCTTTAGAACAGACTCGGAATAGCTACTTAGTATTATATTATTGTGTGTGTTTTATTTTAATACTATTGCATATATATATATATATATATCGTATATATGTATATACATATATAAATCAATTTTTTTTTATATATTAAGCAATTTATGAAATGGCATTCAACGCATGTTCCTCGCATAAGTTTAGAGCGACAAGACGCAGCTAACACAGCCCCCTCCAAGCCCCCTACCATCACACACGCACACTCATTCAACTGTCCCACACACACACGCACACACACACACTCATACAATATTCGAACAAATTATCAAGAGAAAATGAGAAAAAAAAGCAAAAATTTGTAGCGCAGTTTGTTTGTCTTTATATACCGATACATATATATATATATATATACATATATATAATTGATTTTTTTTTTTGGGTTTGTTTAGCTGTTTTTTGAATGAATTATACGCAAAAGCAATATTAATTATAGTTAATTAAATTTAATGCAAACAAAAACACGGCAAGCGATAAAAACAAAGGAATGAAGAAAAGCATTACAAACATATATATGTATATATATAGTGCATATATATATATATATATACATATATATAAATAAATATAAATTTAACGATGAAGCAACAACACCTCATGTCACTGCAATTATATTAAAATTAATTAAACAACAACAAAACAAAGGAAATTAAATAAAAATTATTACTAAAAGACAAAAAAAAAAAAAAAAACAACAACAACAACAAACAAACAAAATAATAATAAAAAATAAATATAAAAAATAAAACGAAAATACAAAAAAAAAAAACAAACAACAACAACATACATGCAACAAGATAAACGTGTTTTATTATTATTAATATTATTATTATTATTATTACTATTAGCATTACTCGCACTATTATTAGTATGATTATTGTTGTTTGCATTGTGCCCCAAATGGAAACTTTAATGCGCGTGCGGCACACAAAGGACTTTTTACTGTTTGCAGGACAACCGAAGCGAATTCCCCAATATTTACACAAATGAGCAATGAATTCTTTTCCATATATGCATATGCACATCTGTATGCGTATACAAACACACACACACACATGCACACATGCACATCTGTGCAAGTGCATATTTACATTTATATTTATTGCGTATACGCAAATAAAGCGTTTGCTGTCATTCGATGTCTTAATTAAGCGCTGCCAGCCATATTTCGCAGCTGGCCAGCGCCAGGGCTGCAGATAGATTTCTATTTGCATTTGCATTTGCAGCAGTTGCAGTTGCAGCAGCAGGGATGCAGGTGCCAAAATGGCTGCAGCTGCTGTTGCAGTTGGCTAGATACTTTTGGCAGCCAGATGCAGATGCATTAGTGTGAAGCTGCAGCTGCATTTGCTGATAGTCATAGAGATGCAAAGACAACTGCAGCTGAGGTAGATGGATGTCAGCTTGACTACATATGCAGATACTTTTGGTGCTAGATATTAAGATACATGCAGGGACAGAGATACAAATGAAAAGATGGCGCAGTTACAATCGCTGCTTGATTACAGATATTTTAGATGCAATTGCGGCTGCAATTGTGGTTGCCAATGCAGATACATTTACAGCTAGATGCACATACATAAGCATATGCAGAGAGCAGTTACTGATGTCTGAGTTGACTGCAGATACATTTGCAGCCATAAGATGCAGCGGGCCATGCGAATGCACATGCAGATACATTTGCAGATACATTCACCAAGTCAGATACAAATGCAAGTGCAGATGCCTTGGCTAGCCCATATATATGCATGTAGATACGAATATAACTGCAATCGTAATTACATCCGATTTTAGATTGTTTAGATGCAGATACATTTGCCATTAGTTAAATAAAGTAAGTATGTATATGTAAGTATATGAATCATGCGATTCAGATGAGTGACAGCTGCAGATACTTAAACTACAGAGATTGCACTGATAAAGATACAAATGCAGTTGGCTGCCATAATCAAAATACAGATACAACTGTTGTTATGCACAAAGATACAAATGTATCTACATTATCGACACTTGCCTATAGGCAGCGGCAGGTCAGTTCGACGGCAGGTACAAGGCGCATTGCAGTTACAAGTGCCGAGCGGAGCTGCAGATACATAACTTATTGAGATACAAATGCAAATTACGCATTAGCGTGGCATCAGTTGAGGAGGCAGCAGAGACTGAGGCGAATACAGATACAAGATACATTGGTTAGTCTTAGATACACAAATGCAAATATTGAATTGGATGCATGAATAGTCTTAGCTTGGCTTGAGCCTGTGGAACGAAGCCCGCTTTCGATATACTCGCATGCATCTGCGATTGATATTAACCTAACGGTTAATTGAGAGTCATCACTGGCTGGCACTCGAGAGTGAATGCAACCGGCACGGATATGAGAGGTGTAACATTTAATTTAATAACGGCTCAGTTAGTCATCGCCGTTGGGGTGGGGGGGAAGGAGGTGCTCGGTGGTGCTCGGTGGATGGATTAAGCGCGGGGCAGCTAACCCCTGGGCGGGCGGCTAAGCCAAGCGTTAAGGCCTCGACTAGCCGAGCCGTCAAAGGCTCACTAATAGAATTTGGCACGAATGACAGCTAAACTAACTATAACTAACTGTTGCGACCGCCGCGGATTAGCCCGCCCCGATATGGGGCGCAAGGAAGCGCGGCCCTGGCTAGACTAGATTACCATCATCGATAGAGCTAATTTCGGGTAATTGAAAGCACTGAGCCCGCATTCAGCAGGCTAGACCCCGACCGAGAGCCAGGCCCTGACCCATACCCATGCCCATATCCATATCCATATCCAGTACCAGAAAGCTGTACAAATAGCTGGTTCCACATGACTGGCTGGGCATGAGGTTGTAAATTGTAACGCTTCAATAGGAGTTGCCGGAGTTTGAAGTGCAGCAATAAAAGGCGGCCAAGAAGCGGCCCCCTCCTCCTCCCCCTCACCAGCTACAGCCACAGCCACAGTCACAGTCATAGCCCGAACCCTAACCCGTGACTCGATGGCTGTTACCCGTTACCCGTTAGCCGTAACCCTTTTAGTTTTATTTATTTCATTCGCTCGCTTTCTTGAGCCCACGCACAGGCCATGGAAAAAACTGTCAATAAGTTTGAGTGTTTTGGCCCAAAAAGTCAAATGCTCAGCATAAATTACGTATTATTAATTGCTGCCGCTGCCGCTGTCGCTGTCGCTGCTGCCGTCACCAATGTCAGCAATGTCAGCAACGCCACCGGCAGTGCCGCAACTGCCGATGCCCGCTGAAGGGTTATGGCGATGTTGACAACACTTGCCCCGACCCCAGCCGCAAACCCGCCAGCACAGCCAGGCCTGCCGAGCTGGCAATTTGCAGCATGATTAATGAGATTGTTTACCAGGCGGCCGGGGTGAGTCGCACGGCATATTTCTGCAACTGCTGAACTAACGAGTGAAATGTGGCGAGTATGCCTTACTGACCTAGACTAGCTGTGAGCAGACTCATGAGTTCCTCACCTGCATGGCCTCAATCGATGATTGTCTACACCGATTACATGCTAGCTGACGAGTAAAAAGTAACGAGTGAACTTACAGCTAATACTAGTAAAGGGCTAGTACAATATATTATTGATAATCAATTTAGAGCATACAGTAACGAGTTCTACGAGCGAGTTTAAAGTAACGAGACAATCAAGACAACTCTTTGTATGTAACTCAAAAATATGTAACGAGTAAAAACAGCGAGTAGATGTAGTCTTGTGAGTATACGACGAGTTGGTTGCACTCATACATCACCATTTCCCTTAGATATTCATCTACTCGCCACATTCGAATGCGACAGTAACGAGTAGCTGTACTCATTTGAGTAGCTAGAGTCTAGCGAGCTACTCGTTCACATATATCACTATATCTCTAACACACTTACTCGTTTCATACATAAATGAGAATTTGTAACGAGTAAAAGCAACGAGTAGATGAAGTCTTGTGAGTATGCAACGAGTTAATTGTACTCATTCTTCATACTCACACACTGTTTCTCCAGGTATTCAACTATTCGTTACATTCTAATACGAAAGTAACGAGTAAGCGTTCTAATTTGAGTAGATGGAGTCTAACGAGCTACTCGTTCACATACATCACTGTATCTTATAAGTATGCAACGAGTTGATTGTACTCATACAACACCATTTCCTTTAGATATTCATCTACTCGCCACATTCGAATACGAAAGTAACGAGTAGCTGTACTCATATGGGTAGATGGAGTCTAACGAGCTTCTCATTCACATACTTCTCTAAACACTTACTCGTTTCATACATAAATGAGAATATGTAACGAGTAAAAGTAACGAGTAGAGGATGGTGTTTCTCATGTCTTACATCATGTGTGCCTCATCTCTTACAACATGTACTCCTGCACACATTCAGCTACTCGTCACACTCACGGCAAGCCAGCGAGTGGAACGGCTCCATTAAGAAACCACAATGTTGGCTGTAACGCAAATTGAATGTGCGTACGCATAACCTTTCAGCGGAGTCAACAACAAATCGCCCATTATTGTCGCAGCTCTCGTCATCAATTGAAATTTTCTGCATGTCATGCGGCTGTGACAAGTCGCTGCCGCTGTCAATGTGCATTATCATAAGTTGCGTTTTATTGCCAAAACATTTATGAGACAGGGCGACAGGGCGACAGGGCGACAGCGCCACAAAGTGCGTGCTGAAAGTTGCGATTGGGACTGGGATTGGGACTGGGATGGGGACTGGGACTAGGACTGGGATTGGGGGCAGCCCAACAGTAATGATCATAATAATAGTTTTACGGGTTAGAGAAGTCACAGTCACAGCGACAGCGGCAACGACCAACAATTTAACAGCCAGAGCAACAACGGCAACGAAATTGTTTTCATACTTTCGATTTTTAACCCTTTTCACAATGGTGCGTAGCGCATTGCGTGCGACAGCCCCGCTACAAAGGACTAGACCAGATAGGACTTATGGGGTTGCATGGCATGGGTTGAGGGGTTAGGTAGAGGATAGTGGATAGGGTGTAGGATTGTTTGTTGGAGTTGAACCTCGTTTGACTCAAGTTTGTTATGCATATTTTATTAGCGCATTCTGTGGATACGCACAGCCAGTTGACTCTTTGCGTGCAACCGCCTATCCCCGTCCCTGGCCCCTGGCCCCTGCCCGCCGCCCAGCACACGCGCGCCCAGCTTAAGCCTGAAAGGGTTGCAGCCACAAAAATTTGTTGCTAGTGCAACTGTTGTTGCTGGCATTGTTGACATTTAACTTAAGCGGCCGCACGGCAGCAATTAAAATGCTCAACTTGTCAACGACGACGACGAGGATGGGAATGAGAATGAGGACGTGGATGAGGACGTGGATGAGGACGTGGATGAGGACGTGGATGAGGACGTGGTTGCCCTTAACACCCAACCAACCAACCAAGCCACCAAGCCACCAACCCACCGCCCAATCAGCCACCTGCACCCCACACTCTCTCACCTGACTTTGATTTGATTTGTGAACAACAAAGAGCCAAAATGTTGACAGGCACTATAAAATTATCAAGGCTTAAATGTATTTTGATGTGCCAGCC